ACACAGGCTGGAGCCAGTTTACAAATTTTTTACAAGAATGAAACTCAGACTATAGATGAAATTATTATCTAATTTATCTAATTTATCTGCAATTTAAACCTACTAGAATAGTTAAAATTCACCTAAATTTGATAGTGTAAAATATAATTAGTTGAAGTACTGTAGTTTATCCATTCGGATATCCATTTAGTTAGTTTTTTATTAGCTTTTCCTTGTGGTGGACAAGTGTAAGAATTGTAAAAATCTTTTGTATGTTGTTGGTTGGGAAACTACAAGTGTAACTATAAGTATATACTGTTTTGGTTTGTATTAAAGATCTAAGTGTAATTGTATAGTTTGTTTATTAATTATAAGATAGTTGATTAGGGATGTTAATTTGTTGCTTCTATCAGATAGTTTGATACAGTAAGGTTTCCAAATTAGTTGTAAATATTTTGTGATAATTGGATTAGAAATTTTATTGTAGTGTCAGTGCTAGCTGATAGCTAATTATGTATTCTCATATAGTATTGATCAGTAAAAATAGGTCAAAGCCTTATATTGTTGTGTATATATTTGTATGTTTTCTAATAAGATTGTTTGGAGAGAGACATGGATGATTTGTAAGTTTATTGTGTAGTTCTTGTAGTTGTATAGTTGTTATATCTAATCATGATAATAGTAGAGTTAAGTATAAGTAAGTTTAGGCAGGTTAGCCAATGCAGCTAACTGTATAGGTATTGCATGCAATGCAATTGATATTAGGGTATATTGATGGATAAAGAGAATATAAGTGAAATAATATAAATAGTATTTCTAGCATTAGCTTTATTTTAAATATTTTTTCTTGACATAAAATAAAACTGGTATAAGATGTAGATCTTTTGTAATTGTTAAGAAAAAGTCAGGTGGCATTTCAGTTGATTTGTAAGGATAAAGAAATGATGTTTTTCATCTGATGTTGAGAGGATCACATTACTATATTGTAGACATTATTAATGTTTTTAATAGTTCTACGTGTATGTTGCTTTATAACATATTTGTCATAATAGAGTTAATATAATGAGTTGTATATATTGGTATAAAGAAGACTAAGTGTATATGATTGGTTTTGGTTTTTAGCTAGTTTGTCAGCTATGTCATTTAGTATATTACTATTATGTGCAGTTACATTTTGAAAATTAATTTAAATTTGGTATGCAGTAATGAAGTTTAGAAGTATATATCATATTGGCCAATAGTTATAAAAGTATATTTTGTTAAGTATAGGTGGTAACTGTGTAAGCATATTCTATTTAAAAATTATTGATTATGAATCAGTATAAATAGTAATAGTACTCTGTTTTTGGCTGTATTAATAGCAAAAAGGGTTGCTATAAGTTCTGCTTTGTATAATGAGGACCAGAGTTTATTTTTTCTGAATATTAATGCAATATAGTCTCATCTTGAATTTGAATCCAACCAATACACATTTTGCATCTGTCATTGGTAATATTGCTTACAGAGCCATCAGTATAAAATATAAACTGTAAGTAGTGTGAGTTGTTTTGTGCAATTTGTTAAAAAATTTGTATAGCTTGATTTTGTACAAAGATGTCAGATATAACATTATTGTATATAATAATATTAGATTATAGAGGTATTGTAGTAGGATTTTGTAATATAATAGAATATAATAAGTCAAATAGATTTGCATAAAGGTTAAGTGTAGTAGAAGAATTGAAGTTAACTTTTTTGTCTAAAAATTTGGTTGTGAAGTTGGTAGGAATATTAAATGTACATTTATTTTGTATATGATTAAAATTAAGATAGCATTCTGTGCATTGTTTGCAGGTATAGTTAACTGAAAGATATAGGTGAGTATGTAAGATATTAAAGTCAATTAGCCAATGTGTTATAGAAATTATGTTCTCTGTTTGGTTATATTGTCTTGCTTTGCCTATAGTAATATTGTTATGTTTATAATCATAAGCAATTATCCAAAGTTTAGGTATATTTTTATAGTGTCCAGTAGTAAATGAAATAGAAATAGTATAAGATAGTTGTGGTTGAGAACTAATTGATCTAGATTGATGATTAGCAATAATTGTGTTTTCTAAAGTAGTAAACCATAATGGCTTACGACCTTTAGATATATATTGGATTCTTGAAGATAGATGCTTCTAGTCAAATAAGGTAGCTGCGCAGCATGTGATGCCGCGCAGGACCAGTACGATCATACATACATTTTCTTCTCAAATTATTGTGATTTCCAATAATCGTCATGTATTATAAAGAAATTTGAACAATTTATGATTTTTCATAAGTGAATCTAAATTTTTCTGGTCCAATTTATTTCACTTTAAACACCACATTTCATCAATACTTATTTCTCCGACAAGCTTATTTTACAGACGATTAATTTGTAATAAGCTGTTTTATATACAATATACTTCATTGATAGCTCATTCTAGCATTATAAATTTGAAATCAACAGTCAGTAATGTCAACATTACACTATGATAATAAATTTTGAAATGAATAATCAGTAACGTTGGCATTACATCATAATGATAAATTTTGAGATTAATAATCAGTAACATTAGCTTCATATTATATATATTATGATTTACATATGGGGTTACATTATATAATATGCAAAAGTCTCAATTTCTTTTAAATGTTCTTACTCTAAATGACAAGCCAGTTATCGCAACAAATTATTATATTAAAAGTTGAACATCATACCTCTTTTCAAAAATGGATAAACGATAAAGATTACTTTAATGAAGACAGGATTTTTCAAAAATTGGCATAGAACATGACTAAAAAGTTGAAGGGAATCATTTCTTTCATATTTTTTATAATATATAAAACATAATCAGACAAGACATTATAATAGTGGGGTAATTGTATTATTGTATATTTTGGTTGATTTGATCAATTGATTGATTAATGATTGATTTATGTAATTTACTGAAGCATATTTTTATTTGATAAAATTTTATGACATTATATTTTTTTGTGGACGATATTAAAGCTGTTTGTTTTTTGTAGAGAGTTGTGCTTAATATATTCAAATTGGTATCATGTCATAGTATATGTGTAAGATAATTTTAATTTTGGTTAGTTAATTTTTAGTTATATGATCAATATCAATTATTTTTATTCAAGGTATGAAAATATGTCATAATGATTACCAAATTGTAAAGATGTGCAAAAACTATTAAAGTTTAAGCTGTAATTGGCTAATGTTTTATTATATTAGTTATTGCATAAAATGTAATAGTTTTGTCATATTTTTAGTTTGATATGAGGTTATTAATAAGCCAATACTAATATTATCGGAATCAAGTATAATATGGTTGTTGCAGAGATCATTAATGTTACACATATATTAAAACTGGTGAGGGATTATATCCATCACAATTGAATCCAACATAAATATTTTAATTTTTGATTGATCACAGGTGAGAGGGATTCACTTTGAATTGGGCAATGTCTCTGCTGTATAATATGGTGTGATGTAAGTTCACATGATACATAGATTTAAGTGAATATAATAATAAGGGTTGTTTTAAAGTCAAGTTGCAGTTCTTTCATATCTGTATTTGCACAATGCCATCTCATATTGATACGATTGTAAAAATAACTCAAGTTCGTCAGTCTTTTAAAGAAGAGTTAAAATTAATGGTTGTGTGGGCAATAGGTGTTTATCCTGTTGGGAGTGAAGATCGCGAAATGGAAATGGTTTTATTTGTTCCTATAGATGATGAAGAAAGAGATCCTAATACCCAATCGGTTTTTGAAAAAAATGAATTTTACAGTGTTGGAGGAAAAGTTGTTTCTGAAAGTTATAATGGCAATTTGAGGTTAAAGGTAATAGGGTAAAGATAACACACTTGATTAATATATTATAAACAATGTACTGATATCTGATTACAATTGATTTAGATGACTGTCACATCATTAACTCACCTTACAATTAAAAGAGATCTTGGGTCAAACAGGTGTCCATTGAAAGTTTCTCTAGTTGGTGTTGTTCAAGATACAGTTAAAGAAGTTAACGATGAAAACGCAATTTTTGGGGTCTTGGTTAAGGATTACGTTAGTCAGGATTGTAGTTTTATGGTTAAGGTTGTATTTCCGTATCATAATAGTCGATTCAAGCACTTTAAAAATTCTATCCGGCCAAACGAATCAGTACTTTTCATTATAGGACAAATGGAGATTATTCAAGGAGATTTGTATGCATATGCTGCTGATATCTCCTATGTTAACATCAATTTTATGGCCAAGAGGAAGATTTCTAGTTCAGACAGTTCCCAAACTACGACAGAATTGCATAGATCAGTTCGATCAAAACTTTTAACAGCTCATCAAGCTGCTAGCGAAAATTTGCCCAAAACATCTGTTACTGAAAAGTCAGATAAGGGCAAGGAAGTGATTGGTTCTACTACTGTTGTGTATTCACTGAAATGTATAAAGGTTGAAGATGAGAGTGATGATTTATACTATAATGAAGATGAACATACAACAGTATATGATAAAAAAGAGGTAGATAATAATGACATATGTGAGAAAAATATTATTTGTGAGAACAAGAGAAGTATGCGTAGTAATAAGGGTAAAGGTACCAGAAAGTGATTTTTATGCTTTGCTTATTATGAGAAAAGGGTTGAAGTTTTAAAAGTTAAATATCGAGAATTATGAAGAGTGAATATTTGTGTTATTTTACTTTTATTATATGTAATTACTATTATATGAATTGTTGTCATATAAATGTAAAATAAATTATCATATATCTGTAACATTTGTTTTACTTGGATAATAAGACGGTCTTATGGTTTAAGTACTTTTGAATAAATGTGTTTGCTTTATTTAGCTTGCTAGTAGTATATGTTTAGATTATATTGAGCTGATTATGTTTGTGGAGGAACACTACATATGCATGTATATTGTTATTTGATTCATACTATAGATCTGTAAATAAAATAGTGAATAGGTTATATTAAAAGTAATGATAATATATTCGTGATTTTTAATTTTTGAATTTCGATGAGTAGAACAGTTAGATACAGTTTAGATACAGTAGATTTGTGAGATTTGATTATTAGTATACAGTTTGAGCATTATATATTACGTATATTCATTTCTTCATATTTTTTTATAGTCGCACTTTTTTGTGATATAATATATAGCTTTTAAATCAAGTTTAGATATATGGTATTTTTTACATGTGTATGTTATTACTTGGTGATCATAGTATTTGTATTATTTTTTGATTATTTTATTTTCTTAAGTTTATCATCTTTTTAAGTGTATTGTGTATTATACTGCATTAGGCCATGTAGATAATTGTTTGGTTATTTTTGCACATTTTTCAAGTCGTTCAAGATCTTTTCTGAGATCGGGATCAAGCTTTACATTTATCTTGGATTGGTTAAAGGGTCGAAGTATCATGATATCTTCTAACTTTTATATGCGAGATAATATAACATAAATTCCGGCACTTATGTTTCCACCATTCAGATCAACAATGACTTTTTTTAATGTAGTGCTTTGGCATTTAAACTCTGTAATCGCAAAAGCCGGGGTAATAGGTAATTGGGTTCTCTGAAATTCTCGAGCTATATTTACTCCATTTTTTATTTTATGTGTATATTTACATTTTCGTTTAATGGGATAGATAGGTACATTGTTTGGTAAAAGATGATCATATGGTCCTGAATTATGATTTAAGATTTCTATCACTATATACTTGGAAGGTTTACTAAAAGTAACAGCTTTGTTTCCATCAGAATTTACATTTTCTTCCATTGTTGATGTGGTGTCATACACAATTTTGCGAAGAATGCCTTGAGCACCATTTACCATACCATCGCTTATACAGATATTGGTTGTTATAGCTATTTTCATGCCTATTGACAGAGGTAAGATGCCACATAGTGCATTCGATTTTGTGTCCATTACACTTAAATATTTCCTACGGATGTTTCCGCAGACTGGTCTATTTTTGTATGTATCCTCAGCACAGATAAAATGGATTAGTTGATTATGATCTCTAGCGTAGTTAATTGCAGCTTCAAAGTTTATTTGAATTCGTAAGTCATTTCTTCGGACTAAAAATGTTGCATTTTTCCATTCCGGTAAGTTTATATCATTTCTTGTTATAACATGACTGCAAAGAGTTTCATACTAGGTTGATGTTAAATAGCCACAGCGTAAATTATTTAATATGGTTGCATATTCTGGGTCATTAAT